GCATTCAAAATGCATCTTTACCACCAAACGACGACTCTTTAAATGTCTTCCTAAGCTGTACTGTGGAACATTACATCTGCTGTATGATTAAACCCAACGGACTAAAGCTGATGTGAGATTTCCCTTGCCTTTGCCTGGTATCCCAACTTGCAGTTAGACATAATGTGTTAAACCTCAATGAACGGCCCCAAATCTGGACATTTGGCAAGAAACCATCATCACATTATATGCCTATCAAATATGATACGCTTTGAAGTTCATCAGAGTTGGAACAAATGTGACAGCCTTCTGATGCATTTTTTCCCCATTTTGAGGTTTTCTCTCATTTTTTTTTCTATTCGCCAATATCCAAGGAAGAATTGGTTGGAGTAAGAAAATAAGTAGTGCCTTTAAGACTAACCAACTTTATCTGGGCATAAAATCTATGAGCAAAAAGCCTGTCAAATGCACTGGGGCAAAACCCCACTCTCTGATAAGTGAGCTGCTATTCACGAAGAAGTTAATTAGCCTTAAAAGTGCTACCATATTCCATGTTTCTCCTGGATAATAGTGGCCGATCCTTTCTTCTCCTTTTCCATCTCCCCAGATTTGCTCACTTGGCTGGCAAGTTTACCAACCTATTATACTGTATCTTACTGCAATAGCACTTAGACTTACATACCGCTTCACAGTGCTTTACAGCCCGCTCTAAGCGGTTTACAAAGTCAGCCTATTGCCCCCAACAATCTGGGTGCTCATTTTACCGACCTCGGAAGGATGGAAGGCTGAGTCAACCTTGAGCCGGTCAGGATCGAATTCCAGACTGTGGGCAGAGTTAGCCTGCAATACATTCTAACCACTGCACCACAATGGTGCTCAATATGGCAGGATAAACCCATAAATGACAATGCACTTTGTCTGAAAAATATTGGGTACATTATGCGCCTATTGGTAATCTGTATCACTGGATAACTTCAATTGTTTGTTCCTTTTCAGGTAGTTATTTACATTCAGGGATGGATTTCCTAGCTGTTTCCTGCTTGCAGATCTTCCCCTTAAGAACAGTGGCTACTTTCAGGTGGGCAGTGAAAAACACAAGTCTGGTTCAAGCTCACCTCATGTATCATCTTCCCCTTCTCTACAGGCACCTCATCAAAGGTCTTCACACTGAGTGGCCGGTTCTTGGAGTTAATGCTGGAAATAAAGAGGAGGTAAGATTTTCGGTTGCCCACACATGGCCATTAAGGGGGGGGGGATGATCTTTTCTGTCCATTCATGTGAAAGTAAGATACCAGAAAAAAGATGATTAGGGGGCTGGACATGATAGCAGGGTTCCAATATTTGAGGGGCTGTCACAGAGAGGAGGGGGTCAACCAATTTTCCAAAGCACCTGAAGGCCAGACAAGGAATAACGGATGGAAACTGATCAAGGAGAGATTCAGCCTAGAAATAAGGAGAAATTTTCTGGCCGTGAGAATGGTCAACCAATGGAACAGAAGTTGCCTTCAGAAGTTGTGGGAGCTTCATCACTGGAAGCTTTCAAGAAGAGACTGGACTGTCATCTGTCAGAAATGGTGTAGGCTCTCCTGCTTGGGCTGGAGGTTGGACTAGATGACCTATAAGGTCCCTTCCAACTCTGTTATTCTATTCCAGGGGTCTTCAAACTTGGCCCTTTTATGACTTCAACTCCCAGAAGTCATAAAAGGGCCAAGTTTGAAGACCCGTGTTCTATTCTAACAAGCATTCTGGTCAGTCCCCTAATCATCTTTTTTGCTCTTCTCTTCACTCTTTCTAGAGTCTCAATACCTTTTTTGTATCCTGGTGACCAAAACTGGACTCAGTATTCCAAGTGTGGTCTTACCAACGCAGTATATAAAGTGGTAAGACGTCTCATGATTTTGATACTCTCTCTCTGTTGATGCAGCCTAGGACTGCATTGGCTTTTTTGGCAGTTGCAACACAGTGCAGGTTCATATTTAAGCCACCTGGTATGTTCTTAGGAATAAAGGAAATAGCCAGTAAGAGTCTTGGAGAAGCTGCAAAAATACAGTGGAGGCACAATTTAGTTTCCACTGCTATCCACCTTTCCTTCCAGGTGCTTACTTTGCTCTGTGGAAAACATTAATCCATTAATTCCTTTGGAGATGCTGCAAAAAAGAGGTGTATTTCTACTTCTATCACATCCAGAACTTTTAGGGCTTCTCTGATCGCTTGTTACAATGAGATCAATGGCTGTGCCTCAGTATTGATTAAACAAGGCAACATAGGGGGAATTTTGAGATTTTACAGGCTATCCTAGACTTTTTAGTAGACATATTTTCACAGTCTACAAATCTGGGCTTTCACATCTATTCGCACCAGTCTAGGAACAATAACAGACTCTTTCAAAAGATGAGAAAAAGTGGAAACAAACGAAGAACAGAATTAATCAATAAGACAGTTGTTTCTGGTTGGGAAAAGTTTTTTCATTGCTTGAAGTTGCTTCCTTACCTTGCTTCTATAGCACTCCAGCGGTGAATGAAGTTGCTCACGTTCTCTTCCAAGATGCAGATCTTCGGGTTGGACTCTCCATCAGGACACAAGGTAATGTTCAGTGGGATATAGTCTTTCCCATCCTTGGGAAAAGAAAAAAGGACAAGCTGAGGCTCATTTTTCTTTCTTGACTTCAGAAATCATAAACGGTCACATTCCTCTGATTCTCTTAGGAGACCACTTTACCTGAAGCCTTCAGGAGATTAAATTTTTCATTTTATCTCTCTGGGACCCAGCTGTAATATTTTGGCAATGCACTAGCCAGAGTATTTTGTCCAACATACACTTTTCTCTGAGTATTTCTACGGTTATCAAGAAAGTTTCCAAGAAGATCACCTAACTGGCTTTGTGCCTAAGGCAAGGCTGGAATTCACAATCTCCCACTTTCTACACCGATGCCTTAACCCAGGGGTGTCAAACGCAATTTCATTGAGGGCCGCATCAGTATTGCGGTTGCCCTCGGGGGGCCGGATGGGTGTGGCCAGGGTGGGTGCAGCCTACTGGGTGGGCGTGGATGCAGTGGGTGTGGCCTACTGGGTGGGCGTGGCCAGCTCTACATCGTTCACGTCAAGGGTGCCTGTGGGGGCCTGGGCAGGAGTGGGACAGATCTGAGGGTCTCTGGCAGAAGGGGGTGGGACCAGGGCAGAGCCTATCAAGCCGGATATGTGACGTAGGCGAGGGCCATTTGCTGGCCACTTCCAGGCGATGGTCCATTTCTTCATTCCTCACAAAGGGTGACCCCTCCCCAGCATGCGCCCAGGGGGTGGGGCCAATGCGACAGGGGCTGGTTCCTTGCTGTTTCCAGACGGCCTTGTGGAGCTAAGACTGAATGCGTTTCAGCATAGATGGCAACCACAACATTGTACATTGGCTCCTGGCTGGCCTGGGGCAAGGCCAAGGCAGAGGAGGCCGTTCCCTCACTGTTTCCAGGATGGCTTCGTGGGCCACATGAAACCACTTTATGGGCCACATCCGGCCCCCGGGGCTTGTGTTTGACATGTCTGCCTTAACCAAACTGGCATATTTGGAGCCTTAATCCAGATGTTCTAAATTTCAGCTCTCATTATCCACAACTAGAGGTGATGGGAGTTATAATCCAAGAACATCTCAAGGGCCCCAGTTTCTGTATGCTGCCTAAACTATTAAATTTCTTTGCTTCCTTTCCCTTGTGGTTCCTTTGCTCAACATTTATCTGTTAATCTTCCAAGGAGTTGAATGTAGAGAAGTAAAGCTTGGACCAATGGGCATAGAACATCAAATCATAAGTCTGGAAGGGATCTTGGGGGTCTTCTAGCCCAACCTCTGCTCAAGGCAGGAGAACTTATCCCTTCCCAGTCAAATTGTTGTCCAGGCTATTCTTGAAAACCTCCAGCGATGGAGCACCCACAACTCTGGGAGGGAAGCTTTTCCATTGATGAATGATTCTTACTGTCAGAACATTTCTCCATACTCGTAGGTTGGATCTCTCCTTAAGAAGCTTCCACCCATTACTTCTTGTCCTGCCCTCAGCTGCTTTGGAGAATCAATCAATCACCTTTTCTCTGTGACAGCCTCTCAAATACTGGAAGACAGTTATAATGTCCCCCCTAATCCTTCTCTTCGATAGGCTAGACATACCTAGTTCCCTCAACTGTTCAACAATCTTGAGAAGTAGATCAGACTTAAGAAGTACAAGGGCATCATGTTCAATTGGGGACACTGAGGTTGAAGCTCATCCTAGCACGTACATAGTCCCTATGTTAGCCCATTGAGAAGAAATCCAGAACGTTAGGTGCCAAACTAATTATTCTTTGCTACGTTTCTTTCATATTATTTAGATACCAGCATTTATTTAGCTGTTTGCAAGACTCTTAAGAAGCCACACATGGTCCCCCTTATTTATCCAATTATAAAACTTGTCCTTTTAAAATTTAACTTGCAGGAAGAGCTTTTGCTTCCATTTAGTCGAAGCGTTTTCCACCCAAAGAGGACCATTCTCCTGCATTTTACCTGCTGTACATTTGCCTGGAGCAGATCCCCTAGACGTTCCACAAGGTTGGTAAAAGTGGGTCTCTCGGTTGGGACACTGTGCCAGCAGTCCAACATGGTCTGGTAGCTACAGGGGATTAAAAAATGGTGATTGAATTTTAAAACTGACAAAGAGCTATCAATCCATCCTTCTACTCGCTAACCCTGTGCCCTGTTGGGCCATCAGAATTTATTTTTTCAGATGAAAGAGAGGCCAGCAGATAATGTTTCAGTCAAAAATGTCCACTCGGTGTGGCACAAAGGTCCTTCTTAACAGCACGGCTTTGATGAATTAACTCAGGCAGGCAGTTCTGCAGTTCAGGTGTGGCACTGGGAAGACCCACTGCCTTTAAAAAGGAATATGATGTTATTATTAATTTATCAGCAACCCATTTTCCCAACAACTCTAGAGTCCCTGTGGATTTTACTCTGCTAGTTGTTACTGACTACAGGGGGTGCTGCTCATCTCTGTTTCAAGGCCATTGAGCCAGCACTGTCCGAAGACATTTCCACAGTCAGGTGGCCAGCATGACATCATGAAGCGCTGTTACCTTCCCACAGAAGTGGTATCTATTTATCTACTCGCATTTGCATGCTTTCGGACTGCTAGGTTGGTGGGAGCTGGGGTAAGGAACAGGAGCTCACTCCATCACGTGGTGCTCGGGTCTTGAACCTGGGCTGCTGGCTTTCCAGCCAACAAGTTCAGCATCTTAACCGCTGAGCCACCACACCGCCCCTAACAACTCTGGGCAGCCTATAATTAAATATAGAGGAAAAAGTACTTGGTTTGAATGGCGTTTCCATCCAGTATACCCAAATGTTTTCAGGGAATTATTTAAAAGCAAAAAAGTATTGCCCATTTTGTCTGACCTGGACTGAGAAAACCCAAAGCTTTCCAAAACGATTTTTGGGGAGAGCTAGCTTAGGGAGAAGGAGACTGGGTGTAAAGAATGGGCACTTCGTGCCTAACTATAGATTCTGGAGTTGCTTCATGCACACAGCATTTTGTGGGTCCTGAGTCTGTAGGAAGAGATTTATCTTGAAAAAGAATGAGAAGTGACAGAAAAGTAAGGTATCAGACAGACCTCAGAAGAAATGAAGGCTCTTGAAGAAATAAAGGCACATTTGTTGTTCTGTACTTGGGGGAATTATGGGGGAACAGAGCAATGTAAAACATCTAGAAATGGATGGGAAAGCTTACATTTCTGGAGTGGAATACTCTGGAGACCTCATCCGTGTTCCTTCCTTGAGACGTCGACAAAAGTCCTCATCAATATGGACTCCTGGATAAGGAGAAGCTCCTGCAAGGATAAATATGGAGCAATGAGTACCATTCAGAAATACAGTTTTCTTGTGTCTCTTCCAGAGATTCTATAATCATAAGGGAAAAGAGCGTGTGTACCACGTATGTATGAGTGTGTGTGTGGGTCTGTGTGTGCGATACGTTAGACCAGACATATCTAGCTACTCTCTAATAAATGAGGACTGGAATATAATTTCCAAGATTGCATATCCATAAAGCTTTTTCCTGACATTAAACTTGGTTAATGATATCCTAGGTGAATATCCTTGATCATGCACTGATTCCTGTTAAAGGTTTGACACCCAGCTACTCATCATTGGCATGGCATGATGATCTATAGAAACAATAAAAAAATGTGAATGCTTAGAATTTGACTGGAATAATTTGTTGTACATCCTATTTTGGCTTTCTTTAGCTGTAGAAGAGAGAGAATCTCAGTACAGGCGTTTTCAGCTATGTTTCTATCGGACAGAATGAAATGTATGCTTTGGAGAAGATTAAGCTATTTCTTGAAAGCCTTCTGCTATGAAGTCAGGGACAACTGCAGAAGCCCCCCCCCCCCCAAAGTCAAGATGGCCTTCACAATGTTGACTTTATGGCCCCCTTGTGAATGCCCCAGATGGAGGGAGTGATTGATGCCTCCCATAGATCAGAAGTATGTATTGTTTTTGCAAGTGATGGGATACACTTAACATTTGAGTGAAAAGACAGGGGCTGTACACTCAAAAATTGGGTGCTTTTAGAAAACTAAATTTCACTTATATCTAATTCAAATCAAATACAGCACTGATGATGTTACCGAGTTTGGGTAGTGAAACGTCTGCGAGAAAACAAGCAAGCTCAGAGAGCAAATCAAATATAGTTATTAAGTTTACTCTGGAATCATGTCTAATGCCATCACTTCTTTTGGTCTCCTTTTTTTGCACACCAAGGCGCTTCCAGGTTGAAAGAATTAATCAGTGACATCACCATTGTCTGGGGGATGCCCAGCTGGGGGGTTCTTTCATGTCTGCGCCAGGAGCTGGAGCGAAGGACGAGAGCTCACCCCACACCAAGGGAACACTTGTTCTTGAATGCAGTCTTGCTAACCTCCACCCAGCATCCTAACCATCAGAGTTACCACTTTCCTCTTTGGTCTCATTAAAATAACTACTCGTTAACTTTGAGGACTTTCTGACATTTACCCCCAAGATCCTGGGAAATTGTAATGGGCTCTAGAGTCTCATATGTACAAGCCGATGATGCATTCACAAGAAGCCAGTGCAGATTGACTTCTTGAGAATGCATCCTCATTCACAAGAATCATTAAATTTAATCATCATTAAAGGCCTGGAGACTAAAAATATGAAGAACGGTTGCAAGATTTGGGTTTGGTTGGTCTAGAGAAAAGAAAGACCAGGGGGGACATGACAGCAGTATTCCAGTATTTGAGAGGTTGCCACAAAGAGGAGGGAGTCAATGTATTTTCCAAAGCACCAAAGGGCAAGACAAGAAACAATGGTTGGAAACTGATCAAGGAGAGAAGCAACCTGGAATTAAGGAGAAACTTCCTAACAGCGAGGACAATTAACCAGTGGAACAGCTTGCCTTCAGACATTGTGGGTGCTTCATCACTGGAGGTTTTAAAGAAGAGACTGGACAGTCATTTGTCTGAAATGGTAAGGGTCTCCTGCTTGAGCAGGGGTTGGACTAAAAAACCTCCAAGGTCCCTTCCAGCTCTATTCTGATTCAGATATTTAGAATAGAATAGAGCTTGGAGGTCTTCTAGTCCAGCTCCCTGCTCAAGCAGGAGAACCTATGCCATCTCAGACAAGTGACTGTCTAGCCTCTTCTTAAAAATCTGCAGTGATGGAGTACCCACGATTTCTTTGCAGCAAGCAAGCAAAATGACCATCTTATTCCCTAGCCTTTGAGAGAACATGCTCAGGAACTAAACATGGATTGTTCCAGAAACTTGTGAAATGCCAAATCAATAACTACGAATCAATAAGAAGTTCTGACAAATGGTCTGGGCAGAAAAGCTGTAGAAAGATAAACTCCGGTGTCAGCTGTCAGCACTTTGTTATTTGAAATCTTGCAGAAGAGGGATTCCTGCTGTTATGACACTGAACAAAGATGACAAGGAAACCGAAAAGCATATTGATATATTAGCCTAATACAAATGTCAAGGAGGAGAAAATCCACACACTTTGAAAGAGCTGAGCAAATTTTAATTCAGCTTGACTTCCTTGAAAAATAGAAGAAAGAAAGAAAAAGCAAAGAACGGTAATCCAGATCTCATTTTGGGAGCCAGTGTCATCGCTGGAAAAAAATTTCCACAGGAATCCTGCTGTTACTTTCATTGTGCAGATTTTCTACCATTTATACAATTGATGGTGCTGACCCGTCTCAGCCCAGCTTTTGCTAGATTTTCATCAGACGTTTCTGTGTCCATCAGCAAATATTTCATTAAAAAAATGCAACAACAAATGACATATTGTAGGCATTTGATAATAGCATGTACATATTAGTGGAAGTAGGCCTTGACCCAAAGGTGTTTTTTCAGGAGGCAACTGGACTTTCTTGTTTTTCCTTTGAAGACGTTTCGCTTCTCCTCCAAGAAGCTTCTTCAGCTCTGACTGGATGGTGGGGAATGGAAGGGTTTATGTTCCTTGCAGACAGCTGGTCATTTGCATTCTTTTAGAGGGTCGTTGAGGCCACTTGGACGTTTGTCTGTGTCCTCAGGGTCACCTGAGTGGTGCAAACGGGTGTGGAGCCTTCTTGGCTGCAGGATGCTTTCTGCCCTGGGTCCCTTCCTTGTTGAAGATGGGCACACAGCTGTTTGGATTGAGTCTGTGTTGTCTGCATCTCAAACTAAAGTGCAAATGGTTCCTGTGGTCTGCAATGATTTCTGAAAATCTGTTCATATTCCAGCACCATTTGAAGGGTGTTCATCCCAAAGTGCAGAGCTAAATGTCTAGACCAGGGGTAGGCAACCTTGGCTCTTTTATGACTCATGGACTTCAACTCCCAGAACTCCTGAGTCAGCCATTCGTAAGCTGCTTGAAATGAAAGGCAACTGGTTGAACGAATCCTAACTCCCACATGCATCTTGTATTGCTATAAAAAGTTGTTTCTTTTTATTTTCTAAAATACAGATGTCTAAAATCATGTCCAAAATGTACATGGGAACATATATATTAGTTGACGTTTGCGACTTCTTATATCTGTCATCAAGATGCACACACAAACACACACATGAACGCACAAGCATACTGTACATATACGTGTGTAAGTTTTGCCACTGTAATACTTTAAGGCATTATTTATTTTTCCATTTTGAGAACTTAGCTACTATTTAGAGTGAAGGATATACTGCACGAAAGGAAAAAAAAAAGTCCACCTCTGGACTTCCATATGACATCAGTTGTTGGTGTGCCTGGTTAAGATTTTTTGACAAGGGCTCTGTTAATTTAAAGTCTCTGTTAAATCTGGCTTTGTCCCTGGTGAATTTTTCATTGGCCAGATGGCTCTAGAAGTTGGCCACCCCAATTGCATTTTGGATTCACAGAAAAGCTGATTATAATACTGTAAATGTACAGCTGTGGCCTCTTTAATTGCTTGACTGCATCCATGCAACCAATATTAACCAATAAAAAAAACCAACAACCCCTCAATCCCAAATGCTTTGTGGGATAGCCAGATAATGATAAAATAACAGTCAATTTAAGGGAGTGAAAGCTCCTGTTGCATACTTTGCTTTTCTATTTCACAGTCGGAAATCTGTCTCCTGATAGCTAGCTTCCTCATCAAAAGTTCATAACTAGCTGATTAAGCTCTAGCTTCGTAATTGTCTCAATTCCTCCATAGCCCCCCTAAGGAGGTGCAGAATGCCCTTCTTTCATAATCTGGGCTCCCTGAAGCTAAGAAGAAAGTGGAAGAAGATTTAATCTGTTTTTAATGCAAATGGAACCTCAATTGAGGGAACTCGGTAGGTTTAGTCTAAGGAAGAGAAGGACTAGGGGTGATACGATAACAGTCTTCCAGTACTTGAGGGGCTGTCACAGAGGGGAAGAGGTTGACTTATTCTCCAAAGACCTGAGGGTAGGACTAGAAGTAACAGATGGAAACTTATCAAAGAGGGATCCAAACTAGAATTAAGGAGGAATTTCCTGATAGTGACAACAATTAATCAATGTTTGCTGATGCTCCTTCCTTGTCCTTCTTCCATCAAGCAGACTTGGGCTGCTTCATCAAATGTTTTTCCTTCCTTTCCATTTTGCACTTTAGCCTTGAGGGGGTCCCAAGCAGAGTTCTCTTCCATCCCCCCCCCCCGCTTCCTCATCCATGCTTGCATGTCATCACTTAGGATCAACGGAAGGCAACCGATCACTCTAAGTAGGACAAATTATCAAATCCACCCCAGGGTCTTTGGTCAAGTTGGATGCAAGAAAGGTCGTTAAGTGGGGCAAAACTCACTAAAGAAATGTCTCGCTTAGCAACATAAATTTGGTCCTCAATTGTGGTTGTAACATGAGGATTATCTATACATTCATTTAGTGACCATTCAAAGTCACCTACAAAACTGAAACTTGGGTTACCACCATCGTCACATGTCCTTTTCCTGTTGTTTGTCCTGCCACCTTTCCCTTCCTTCCTCAGTTTCCCCCCCTATTTTTAGACTGTGACCCTCAGGGAGGCAGGAAGCCCAGCTTCATATTTATTTATTACTTTCCTTCCTTGATCTGCTCAAGCTTATAATTCAAACTCCCTTCTAGATGATTATCACCTCCAGTCTGTGAATACATTCGGTGGAGGAATCGGAATAGATCAGCTTCACTGCTTGCAGTCTGTTGAAGGATTTAAATCCATCGCTCTCGTTTGCTTGATATTTGCAACTTGTTTTTGAATGGGACTCACTTTTAATTATTTGTTCTCCTGAATCACCCAGCCTTGTTTCTGGGAGATGCTAAATGAGGGGGGTCTGAGGGGAGGGGACAAAAAGGTAAGGATGGTTCCTGTGATCATCTGAAGGCAGGACAAGAAGCAATGGATGGAAATTAACCAAGGAGAGAACCAATAAGGAGAAATTTCCTGATAGTCCAAACAATTAACCAATGGAACGGCTTGCCTCCAGAAGTTGTGGGTGCTCCATCACTGGAGACTTTTAAGAAGAGACTGGACAGCCATTTGTCCGGAATGGTATGCCCCCTTTACAACCTGTGGACTTCAACTCCCAGAATTCCTGAGCCAAGAACCAGAACTGAACATCGGAGAACCCAGCCAGCAAACTCTTGACCTTGACCAGAACACTGGTGCACAAAACCTAATAGTAGGAGCTCAGGATGTTACTAGACTTTCCATCTCATGCTAAAAGGTATCTTTGGGAAACTCCTCCTAAAGTATGCAGCCAACAGGATGGGCGGCTGCCGCCGTTTCTCACATAATGTACTGTATTTCTAACTTATATGCTGGTGCTGACAGGAAATATGTCTCTTGGAGACGTGGAAGAAAATGTCCATGCTGGGTTTAGTCCTGGAGCAGCGGAATCCTCTACAGTTGCTGTTCTCACGTTCCTTTATTTGTAGACAGTCTTCAAGTTATGACTGCAATGGAAACTGCCCATTTTGTCATAAGTTGTGACAGTTGTCAAGCAGGTCAACCAAACAACCGATCTGACTTTATCACCTTTTTTGTGATGGTCATTAAATGGACCAATTGTTCTCTATGGGTTGATTTTACTGGAAATTGGAAGTACAGGCTGGTTTCTGCCAAAAATCTCGTAAAACCCAGTCACGTGACCACAGGATGCTGCAAATGCAAGCCGGTTGCTCAGCATCCAAAATATGGCCACAACTGTGAAAAGGAGGGGCAGCCATCAGAACTTTAACTCCAGGGAGATCTATCATAACATTGACGAGTTGCTAAGCAAGCAGTGGTAAGTCAAGGACCACCTTTATAAGATGTTTATGGAGAATCTCAGTCATCCAAGTCATGGTTTGTCCCAAAGGTGCTTTTCAAAAGGCAATTGAACTTTCTTGTTTTTTTTTCCTTTGAAAATATTTTGTTTCTCATCCAAGAAGCTTCTTCAGTTCTAACTGAATGGTGGAGAATGGAAGGATAAATCCTTCCATTCTCCACCATTCAGTCAGAACTGAAGAAGCTTCTTGGATGAGAAGCGAAATGTCTTCAAGCAAAAACAAAGGAAGTTCAGTTGCCTTTGGAAAAAGCATCTTTGGGACTACCTGTATTAGAGTTATGTCCCTTTTTCAGGAACACATCCACCTTTCACCTCTATAGCCATTCGCTCCCTTGTAGCCTCTGAGGTTTTCACCAGCCAGGTCCAGACAAGTCTTAAGATTTGATTGCTGCCAAAACTGTTGGTGCCAGAAGTAATAGTTATTACAAGGCTGTGCCTTAGTTTAATTGCCTTTGATTGCATTGTTTTGCATTGGCTGTGCTGCTATGGTTCCCTATACAGTAATCAGGACCCCTTGCCTGAAGTGGTTTATACATTTCATAAATAAATAACAATTGTTTGGTTAAAAGATTACCCTTGACCCAAGTCAGCCCTATAGGTGAGGCTGGATTCAACTTAGATTTCTCTGCTGCTAGTCCAATATCTTCAGCCCCCTCCCACGTTGGAACTGTAAAGTGGGGATGTGCGCAGCAGTTCACACTCATCAAGTGCTCCAGGTCAGGAATGAATGAAAGAAGCTGTTGACAGCAGGTTGGCTGCAACACAGATTTTGTTGCCCTTATAAGGCAAATATGCTTGCCTTCTAGAAAAGGGCCTGCTTAAATAATAAATGTGATTTAGGATCCAATCTGGCTCGGTTTAGTTTTCCCAGCTTTCAAATTTGTGTTGGAGCCCATCTATATGGAAACTTCTCCCTCTCCAGAATGTCTGCTTTGGGTTATTCTATGAGCCTGAGGACTTAGCAGCACAAGGAAACAAGAGCCAACAACTTAATAATCGGCCATCAACAACCCAATCAACAACTAAAAACCCAGGGACCACATAAATACTATGCATAGAATAGCCCAAAGCACACATTTTGGTGAAAGAGAAGTTCCCCAAGGATCCAGCACAAGTCCAAAAGCTCAAAAGACTAAGCCTCTGGTACCAGTGACCGACCCAGATTGGATCCTCCAACATTATCCAGGGACACACATATTCACCTTCATTCATGGTTTAATTTGTTCAATTTCCAGTAGTAACTGTCCCACTCTGATATCATTTCATGACATTAAGAGAGCATACTTCTTCTACTTAAAATCAAAGCAAGGAAAAACAATCTTACCCAGGGAAAATATTTCCCACAGCAGCACACCAAAGGACCAGACATCACTCTGAGTTGTGTAAATTTTGTCAAAAATTGCTTCTGGAGCCATCCATTTCAGGGGCAGCCTGGCCTGGGAAAGGAAAGAAGCACAAAGTTGCTGTGTTATCCAAGATGGACGGCCAGACAAACGTACATTGTTGCGTGTTACAGCGCAAACTCAACCCCTTTTGTATTTGCTTGTGACATTGTGATGCAAGTTAAAAAAAAGGTGGAGCTTGTGTTGCAATGGTGGGTAGTGCATTGTATTTTAGATGGTATCCTCATGATTAGGAAAGAAGATCGAGTTGTGTTACCAATCTGAATTGGATATTAAATACATTGATCAAAGCATGTGTATCCTATTCAATATCATAGGGGTGGGGGAGGTGGGGAGCAGGGATGAATAACATTTGTGATTAATGATGTCAAAGGAGATCAGATGTCAGGCCCCAAGAATCAAGAACGAAACACAGAGTTATTTCTGGGCAGTTTCCCTTATTGTTCTCCACCTATAGACAGAATCTTGCCAGTCTAAAGCAACTATCTGCTTAACTTCAGATATACTTTGGAACTGCTAGAGAGGAACCATTTCAACCCTCTTCCTTGCTGATTAAACTTTCCAAGGTCCTCTGCCTCTTTGCTGCATGGAAATCAGCCCCTCCCTCCTAGGAACCCAGCCCACATTCCACCACATGAAGGGCACAACTGGGAAAAGGGTCTTACAACACCCAGCCCCATACTTACATCCCCTTTCCGCACATAATCAGGATCTTTGTATATATCTCTGGCCAATCCAAAATCGCAAATCTTCACCACATTATTTTGAGAAAGAAGAATGTTCCTGGCAGCCAAATCTCTATGTATGCACTGGAATGAAAAAAGAAATAAAAGGAAATCAGGGGAAAAAAAATCAATGACCTTTATCTATTACCAAGGAAAGATGGTGGCCTGAAAAAGCTCAAGAGGGTGTCTCTGACTGTTCAACTGGAGCCCTGGCCATTTTCACTGGTGCCACAGATAAAATGGGATGTGCTGAGATCACATACTTATGGACAAGACCTCGACCTTTTGATTCTCTACTTCCAAGGATGTCCCTGTTCATTTCTGCAATTTAAAGTTCTCTGGCGTCATATGATGTCTTAGAGAACTGAAGGAGGACCATCAGGTAAATTTTGACTATGGGTTTGTGGAAGATCTTGTGCTATGTGATGTTCCACAAGCATTAAACTTGGCATGTTTCATAAGAGTCCAGAATGGGTTGGTTGGATACTGTGGGACAAGTTGCCTATGGAGATTCTCAGTCATCCAGGTCATGGTTGTTCCAAACATCCCTTTTCAAAAGACAACGGGGCTTTGTTTTTCCTAGAACAGTGATGGCGAATCTTTTAGAGACTGAGTGCCCAAACTGCAACCCAAAACCCACTTATGTATCGTCGGGTGCTGGGTAGGCGTGGCCCATTGGGTGGGTGTGGCCCATTGGGTGAGTGTGGCCTGTTGGGTGGGTGTGGCCCGTTGGGTGGGCATGACTGTGGTGGTAACGGCAGACTGGGTGGGACTAAAAAGTTCAATCAATTCCAACTTTGCGAGATCTTTTTTTCCCCCGCAAGAAATTGAAATTGATTGACTGATTGAACCTTTTTTTTTTTTGCACACAGTGGCAGAGGCCTAAAGCGAAAAGGTTTTATAAAATCCAGATGAAGGTCTAGGACTGGGGTGATGGCATGCGTGCCCACAGAGAAGGCTCTGCGTGCCACCTGTGGCACACGTGCCATAGGTTCGCCACCACGGTCCTAGAAGATGTTCCGCTTCTCATCCAAGAAGCTTCTTCCAACTTGTGGAACAAGTTAGGAGTAGACCTACCCAGTGCTTTTTTTGTAAAAACAAAAGGTGACGGAACTCACACATGTCATACAACCCGCCTTGCCTACCCTACAAGGTTACATCCAAAAAAGGTGCCGGAACTCCGTTCTGGGCGTTCTATGAGAAAAAAAGTCCTGGACCTACCTATATTTGGGTGTTATTTTTTGTGTAATTTTTAGCACTTCCTTGAATTCTGAATCCCTATGAAGCACTAAAACCTTTCCAAGCAATAAATACCTTCAAAGGGCTCCTTTGATACCTCCATATAAAAAACAGGATTGCATTTTGCTAATTAAAATTTTATCACAACTTCTGAATCTCGTTCCATTACATCCAGCTGATGGTTATATAAATAGGTTTTCCCAATACTTATTAGTTCTTGTCTGAACCTGAAGAATAGAACTCCAGTTGTTCTACTCCTGCTTTGTTGGAAATGTTGGACGGCATTAAAAAAAGATCACCCATAATAATAAAGCACTGGAAATAACAAGAGGAAAATCAGGATCATGCCTAAAACGGTTATGGATGATCATTGGCTGGCTGGATGTCTAATAGCCCAGTAAATGAATGTATAATGATTGAGATGAGTTCCCAAGCCCATTTTAGTTTAGGCCAGCATAGTCTTTCTCAACTTGGCATCTTTCAAGATGTATAGAGTAGACTGCAACATCCTGGATTTCCTAGTCAGGTTTCCTGTTGCTTAGAATTCTGAGAGTTGAGATTCATACGTCTGGAATTTTGTGACATTTGGGAAACACTAACTTAACTTGTTCTGTGAACCCAGCCATCATTTTTGACACCTCTTGCAACAAGACTTACTTTTCTTGAGGCCAGAAACTCCATGCCTTTAGCTACCTGGAAGCTGTAGCAAATCAAGTCCTCCAAAGTCAGAGGTCGCTTGTAAAGATCTTCAGCATCTAGGACAAAGCAATGGATGATCTGAGCTAGGGATGCAAAGTAAAGACCCACCTACTTAGAGGATGACCAGAGATCTGTATTGAGGTCTCCTCCAGCCCTATGATTGTATATTCTGTGTCCACAAAAAGGCTAATGTAGCAAGCTCAAAGCTACAAAATCAGATGGCCCATCTTTGCTAAGAATATGACCAAGAGGATGTGGAGGTTTTTAAATTTCCCCCACACATTCGCAGATGGAGCAGTCCTGGTATAGACCAGAAGGAGACAGATCTCCAGAATTGGAACTCCAAAGAGACCAGAAAGTGGGTGTTCACTGACCTTCTTCTTCTGAATCAGAATCTGTGTAACTCTTGTCTTCAACAAATCCAGAGCTGGCAGAACTGCCCGTGCTGGCCACGCTTTCGAGACGCCTCTTAATGAGCTCTGTTAAGTCACTTATCGACTCCTTCAGTCCTTTCTCTGAGCAGTCTGAATTTTCTGGTGACTGGGGATGAAAAAAGACCTCTTAAAGAAGCCCGTTATTACTCACGGGGCGGGTTCAAACAACATGCTAAAACGGGAGACCGAGGTTCACAAAAGACATTGGCAGTTTTTGCATAACATGCTATGTCCATTTAACTGAGTCACGGTTTGCTTATAGCACATAAATCAAGCTAGCACCACACTGCCCTGTCTTCAAACTACACTATCCATTTTTTCATTTGTTAGCCACAATTTAATTAAGCATGAGGGCAAAGTCCCCCAAAAGATTAATCTTTCATTTTGCATAAAGGTCTCCCTAAGGATCTCCTGCTTGAGCAGAGGGCTGGACTAGAAGATCTGCAAGGTCTCTTCCAGTTCTGTTCTGATGCTGATTCAAATGTCTAAGAAATGACATACATGGTTGAATTTGGTCCCTGTAACTCCTCTGCTCCACGAGCTGCATTGGCTGTTGGTCTGCTTCTGGGTGCAATTCAAGGTGTGGGTCATCACTTTTAAAGCCCTATATTGCCTGAGTCCAGGTTACTTGAGGGACCATCTCACCCCATTGGGATTGGCCCATCCTATTTGTGCCAACAGAGCAGGCACGCTGAGGATCCCATCAGACTGATTATTCTGGCTGGAGGGATCCAGGAGGAGGGCTTTCTCTGCTATTGCTCCTGCCCTCTGGAACATCTCCCCCCCCAAGTAAGGTTAGCCCCAACCCTCCTGACACAAAGAAGAGGAGGTCAACTTATTTTTCAAAGCACCAGGAGGTAAGATGAAAAACAAGGAATGGAAACTAATCAAGGAGAGAAGCAACCTGGAATTAAGGAGAAACTTCCTAACAGTGAGGACAATTAACCAGTGGAACAGCTTGCCTCCAGAAGTTGTGGGTACTCCATCACTGGAGGATTTCACAAAGAGACTGGACAGCCATTTGTCTGAAATGGTATAGGGTCTCCTGCTTGAGCAGGGGGTTAGACTAGAAGACATTCAAGGTCCCTTCCAACTCTGTTATTCTGTTATGCTGCCAGTTGGCTCAGGGTTCCAATCACACTGGGGCTAGTTGATTGATTAACAACAGATCCCACCTCCCTCCCATGCTGCTCCCACCCTCCCCGTCTTCAAATTGTTTTGCACTGTTTGACTTGTTGTGCTAACTTTTTTATGTTTTTAGTTTATATAATTTTATCTTCTACGATTGTAAGCCATCCAAAGTTAATTTGAGGTAAGATGGGCAGTCAATAAATTTTACAAACAAACAAATTTATTCAAACCCAGTCCTCACTTGGACAAGCAATAAAACCCTTTTCCATCTGAAGATTTTTTAAAGGAGGGGCACATCGTTTACCTTGCATATAATGAAATCCCCTCGTTTCCCTCTCAGGTAATTAGACAGATTTCCATACTTGCAATATTCTACAATGACCATCAGAGGACCTGCAGACATGATCAAAAGAAAGTTCACAAAATGATAACACGTGGGAACATCGCAGGAATAAGCAAAAGCAAGTAAACATCTCCCTTGCAAACACAGAAGGAAATGGGCAATGGATAAAAGAAGTAGGTCAGAAAACTGGGGCCAGGAAGTGAGAAACACACACTGGCTAATGGCCACATTTTCTGGTTAATGGGACAGACACCAGCTTTTACTTGCTGATGGGTGTTTGTGCAGATGTTACCCTGCTCCCTGCTATCCCTGTTAGCGATTAAAGATCTTAACAGTTTGTCTCTCCATCCTTCTGAACGTGCCTCCTTGCCCCACTAACAGCAGTTATGAGATTAATTACCACCATTAGTTGCCATCAAAGACACCACCGTTTCCATTAATCAAGAGACTAACGTCAGAGCTCGGCCTACATATAAGAGCTGTTTAGCTTTGGCCATTCTGGACTTGGTTGCTGACTTTCCCACATCAAACAATGCCGGGTAAATCTGAAGAAGCAACACAACAGAATGTTATGCAGAAAGTCGGGCAGGTTAAGCATCATGGATGTCTTCAAGCTTGAAATGATTTTGTTAAAAAGAACAAGCTCTGCCTCTTTGGGGCACACCTGCAACATTGCAAGGGACTATGCTGAGCTCTTGGGAAGCAACTGAGATATAAATATAATCCTCTCCCCTCCCCTCCCTTCCCCTCCCCTCCCCTCCTCTCCTCCCTCTCCCCTCCTCTTGTCTTGTCTCGTCTGGTCTCCTCCCCTCCCCTCCTCCCCCTCTCATATTGACAAGAACTTGCTTTTCTAACCGTGGTCAGCAGAGATCCAATAACCCCCTCGGTGATGCCAAGATCAAAGCCAACATGTATTTATTCTTTCATTTATTTATTTCTGTGCTGCCTTGGAACATCGTGACTCAGGATGGTTTACATAATAAATCAAAGCAAATCAGATGCAACCAGAGTTCCAAAGGCAGCTGCCCCCAAAGCCTGTTTGAGGAAGATGGTTGTTCCACTTGACAAAAAGGTGGGTCACCTCGATTCTAACGGTAAAAGGAACTTCTAGAATGGGGTCATCAGGGCTGAGGATCTTCCCATCCCTGTGCTATCACGAAGACTTAAATGTCTTTTTTTCGGTGGCTTCAAGTCAGTCTTGATTGGTGATGACTGCTTGGACTAGTCCCGGGATCTTTTCTTGGCAAGATTTCAGAGGAGGCTTGCTATTGCCTCCTTCCTAGGGTTGAGAGTAACTGACTGGAGTAACATCAGCCAACTGGTTTTGTATCTAAGTCAGGACAAAACTCATAGTCTCCTGGTTTCTAGCCCAATGCCTTAAGCACTACGCCAAATTGGGTCCTCAAATGTGTTATAAAGAAATGACAGCGGGTAGCAGCCTGGAAATCTTGCCAGGAAACCCTCCTATGCAGCTTAGATTAGGAGGTTCAAAAGAGATTGATGGCCAACCCTATCCAAAGCAACTTAGCAATAGCACTTAGACTTACTGTACATACCGCTTCACAGGGCTTTGCAGCCCCTCTCTAAGCGGTTTACAGAGTCAGCCTGTTGCCCCCAACAATCCGAGTCCTCATTTTACCAACCTCGGAAGGATGGAAGGCTGAGTCAACCTTGAGCCGGTCAGGATCGAACTCCTGGCAGTTGGCAGAGTGAGCCTGCAAATACTGCATCCTCACCACCGCGTCATCAGGGCTCATGTCCACCGTGGTCATATCCATCTCACCAAAAGGATCAAGTTCAACTGCAGAGCTGTTTAACTATTTATTTACTAAAATTTGTACAATGTCCAAATCTCAGCAAATTGTGTCTCCCCCCCCATTCTACCCATATCACATCCAATCAATATTTCAAAGGAATGATCTGGAGCCACGCGGTAGTCGTATGGGAAAAGATTGACAGCCCATCTGTCGTAAAGCCTAGTTTTCTTCTTGGTTTTCTCCTTATAGGAGAAAAAAAAGCTCAGCTTCCTGAAATCATGTGAATTTTTTTTTGTTGTTGCTTTTTCCCATTAGCAAATTGTCCATCATCAGGGAGGTCCAACCTGAGCCCCAAGGCTTCACATAAACCCTGAACCTGCAAAGTCAGTTGCCAAATTGGAATTTAAAATGTGATAGGTAAGAAAATGATTAAATGCATGCCTGGAGAATCATTTCCACATAACCATCAAATCTAGTTTATGTTCTTTTCCTATTGACTATTGCAGAATGCATCTTACATTGCGTAAGCCAAGTGCAGCCTGAGGCATGAAAAAAAAAAACCCTGCTTACCTTATCTAGCTCATATTTTGATTCTTATTTCTTTGGTTTGCTCTATTTCCTCCCTTGCACTTACCCTATTTTGCTTTTTGAATGTAACTTATATAAAACTCAGGGCCAAGTCTTTCCTAACGTGGTGATTTTAGTGGAACTCCATTTAATACTAATCATCAGTGCTTACTTCCTCCTATTTTGGTCAATCCAAAGCCACGATAGCTACTGCTTTATTTCCCTGTTTTTCTCATCGTTTTGCATGATAAATTAAAAGTAATTTTCCTGCATTCTAAATCCTCTATGAGTGAAACTCACCACTGAGACCAACATCGTGACTTTAATTAAACACATCCTGCAAAGATTTTGGGAACGCCCCAAGGATTCTTGTTGGTGGTGGCAAGAAGAAGGAGAAAACAAGATTTTGCACTGACCCCCCACCCCCCAAAAAAAATTCAGCGGAGGTTTCTCAAAATAAAGTATCTTGGTGCCCATATATTTTCTTATCATATCTTGGTGTGCAGAGAAGAGCAACAAAGATGATCAGGGGTCTGGAGGCTAAACCATATGATGATTGAGGGGACCAGGTATATGTTTAGTCGAACAAAGAGAAGGTTTAGGGGTTCCATGCTAGCTGTTTTCCAGTACAGTCACAGAGAAGAGGGGATTGACCTGTTCTCCAAAGTACCTGAGGTCAGGACAAGAAGCAATGGCTAAAAGATCATTAAAGAGAGAAGCAACCTAGAACTAAGGAGAAATGTCCTGACACTGAGAACAATTAATCAGTGGAACGGCTTGCCTCTGGAAGTTGTCGGTGCTTCATCACTGGAGATTTTTAAGAAGAGATTGGACAACCATTTGTCTGAAATGGTATAGGGCAGTGGTGGTGAACCTATGGCACGGGTGCCAGAAGCGGCACTTAGAGCCCTCTCTGTGGGCACACATGCTGTTAAGTCCGGAAAATAATGGCGAAGGAGGCAATGCATGTTGCTAACAGACCTTTATTCTCACTCTCTTACAGCTAACAACCAACAAGAGCAGAGGCACGCAGACCTCTATTTATACCCCCGGATCCCTGGACAATTCCAACCAATAGCAGGCAGTCTATTCCCGCCTTGCGCATGTGCGCAAGGCCGGCGCCGCTCAGTCTGGTCCCGGGCAGCTTCTGCAAATGCCTGGGACTCTTGCATCGTCCCGAGCCTGCTTCTGCAGGCTCAGGACACAACACCTGCCATTGCCCCAGCCTTGCCTCTGCCCACGACCCCCTCCTCACCAGCAGCCTCCCTGGAGGAGAGTCGCCCCCAAGTGTGGCCCATGCGAAGCAGCGCAGCCAAGGACATGGCAGCCAGGCAGCTTAGACAAAACTCTGCCCTCATGCCCCAACGTGCACAGTTGATGCTGCAGTGCGTGGGCAGAGGGCGTGGCCGCCATGGTGCTGCTGGGCCCTGGAGGAGGTGAGGGGCCCTGTGGTCAGGCAGGGTGGGGCGGAATGGGGGTGGGGTAGGGGTGGAACAGAGGCAGGGCAGAGGCAGGACGGGGTGGAGCAGGGGTGGGGCCAGTTTTTGGGCACTCGGTCTCTAAAAGGTTCGCCATCACTGGTATAGGGTCTCCTGCTTGATTAGTAGTACAAGAAGTACAAGAAGTACAATTAACTAATTAATTTAATTTATTAATTCCAATCAGTGGAATGGCTTGCCTTCAGAAGTTGTGGGTGCTCCATCACTGGAAGTCTTTAAGAAGAGACTGGGCAGCTGTTTGTGTGGAATGGTATAGGGTCTCCTGCTTGAGCAGGGGGCTGGACTAGAAGACCTCCAAAGTCCCTTTCAGCCCTGTGATTCTATGCTCTACGTCCTACCTTTCTTCTCTTCTAGAGTTACCAGCTTTGTGCTGGACAAAGGAGTCAATTATAGCTAGGCATGCAATATACTTGTATTCCATGACTCATTTCTTGATAGAAAGTAATTAGAGGAACTCCCCGCCCCCCCCAAGAAAAAAAAACCACAGTTGGAATAGCAAGTCAGCCCTCTAGCTTGGCCCATTTCTCCTGCTTCCTTCCACCCTTACAATGCCATTGCCTGCCATAGTTGTCTAAATCTATCATTTTCAAAAGGAAAATCATGTCGGGGAGAAAATGAAAAATTATTATTACACACCTCCATTCTAGCCTAACAGTGGGGAATCCCAGTTCAGTCTATCTGTGAAAGTTTCTATGTATTTAAAGGAACTGAGATTAAAAGAATCTGCGGCACAGAATGCAATTGTCCTACGGCCACTTTCTCTGCAGCACTATTTACCCAGCTGGATCTTGACTGCAATCGTGAGATGTTCGTTCAGGTACAGCCAGCCTCATAAATGCTTCATGAATGCTTTATAAACAACGGGGGCTGCATTTTTATGGTGCTGTGTTCTGCCTGTGCTTCTTGGATAGAAAAATTGGCACGTGTGTGTTTATGTGTGTGCAACAGGGGAAAATATGCTTGCCTCCAAATACGTGCGGTCGCTTAGTTCTACTAAATCTTCCAACTTCAGCTTCTTTGAGGGTATCCTGAACGAATTATTTTAATCCTAGATACAGTTTTGCTTTCCAGTACAGAAAATGCAGAAGCCAATCTGTCAAACTGGGTAAAATCCTGTGTGAATTAAGTTATATATTCAGTGATGGGATTCAAATAGGTGAACAACCGGTTCCCTGCGTGGATGCCACTTCCAGAAGTCCGTTCTGGGCCTGGGCAACAAAAAATTAGCTACCGGTTCTGCCGAAGTGGAGCGAACCGGCTGAATCCCACCACTGTACATATTATATCTTGATATATATCAGTGATGGCGAACCTTTTAGAGACCGACTGCCCAAACTGCAACCGAAAGCCCACTTATTTATCACCGGGTGCCAGGTGGGCGTGGCCCATTGGGTGGGCATGGCTGTGGTGGTCATGGTAGATTGGGTGGGTGTGGCGAAGGTGGGCATGGTCACCTCAATGTTGCTCGTGGGGAGGGATGTCTGTGGGGGGTGGGCAGGGTTGGGGGAGATCCAGGGGGTTTCTGGCAGGTGGGGCAGGAGGCAGGAGGCTTGTCCTGCAGGGTGAGGTGAGGCAGGGTGGGGGTGCCATTGCCATGGGGCAAGGCAAGGGCTGGGGTGGCTGCTGCCTGACACCATCGGCCCCCGCACAGAGAGGCCAGTGAGCGCCTTGGGGCCGACGGTGTCCGTCAGCGGCCACAGTCTGCCGGCCGCTCAACTGGTGCACTCTGGGGCTCCGCAGCCCACCGCCAGCAGTTCAAAGAAGCCGCCTCTGAGCTGGATGGCCGGCCGACAGCTAAGGAGGCGATGCAATGGGTCGTGCCCAGGAAAAGGAGAGCATGCGAGGCCAGGAGGGATGGGACGGGGGGGAGGGAAACCAGCCGTGCCGGGATGTATCCGGCCATGTGGGACCTCGTCAAGTTAGCAGGCGGCTGGTTGAAGAGGGACAGTTGCCATCTCCAGGGCATGGTGCACGTGCCCACAGAGAGGGATCTGAGTGCCGCCTCTGGCACCTGTGCCATAGGTTCGCCACCACTGATATATATCTTGATTCAGACAGGATTTTGTGAATTTGTGATATATATATGAGCCGTGGTGGCACAGTGGTCAGAATGCAGTATTGAAGACTATCTCTGCCCACTGCCAGGAGTTTGATCCTGACCCATTCAAGGTTGACTCAGCCTTCCATCTTTCTGAGGTTGGTAAAGTGAGGACCCAGATTGTTGGGGGCAAAATGCTGGCTCAGTAAACTGCTTAGAGAGGGCTGTAAAGCACTGCAAAGCGGTATAGAAGTCTAGTGCGGAGGAAGAAATAATAAAAAAATACTAGACTGTGCAGAAATGGACAGACTTATTTTGAGATTGAAAGAAAAAGAATTTTTTTTTCCAGATTTGGGACTTATTTTACCAATGGTTGGAGAAATGAACTAGGGATTAGGAATTTAATTTGTATTAGTGAATGATGAACTCAGACAACAGTTGAATAAGCACTGTTGAATTGTATTAAAAAATCAATAAAAACTTAAATTAAAAAAAGTCTAGTGCTATTGCTAGCTTCCCTGCCTTTCCCATTTCCTTCCTTCCTTCCTTCCTTCCTTCCTTCCTTCCTTCCTTCCTTCCTCCCTCCCTCCCTCCCTTCCTCCCTTCCTCCCTCCCTCCCTCCCTCCCTCCCTCCTTTTTCTTCCTACTTTTGCTGTGGTGATGCAGTGGTCAGAATGCAGTATTGCAGGCTAACTCTGCCCACTGCCAGGAGTTCGATCCTGATGGGCTCAAAGTTGACTCAGCCTTCCATCCTTCCAAGGTTGGTAAAATTAGGACCCAGATTGTTGGGGCCTATAGGCTGACTCTGTAAACTGCTTAGGGAGGGCTGTAAAGCCCTGTGAAATGGTATATAAATCTAAGTGCTATTGCAATAAGGAAGGTCTATCAGAAAAAAAAAATAGTACAGGCTTCTGACTTTTGTAGAGATAGGCCATCTTGTGCTTTCTATATCCAAGGGAGTTTTAATTTGCTGTGGGAGGTGTAGTCCAGGACAACTGGATGGCAGCCAATTGCTTCCCTGCCCTGTATTACATGCAAGAAATCTTTCTGGTGCAGTTGAGGTGGTCACACATCACCTGAATATAGTTTAATTCATCACCTATAGGGAGAATCCTCCTTTCAGTACAGATTTGAGGACTAATGTCTAAGTTCTACCTTAGTCATTGAAGCTACCTGGGTGATTTTGGGCTAATCACTCTTTCTCAGCCCAAACCCACCTCACAATTGTCGGGAAAATTGAAGGAGGAAGGTGCTTTGGATATGTTCGTTGCCTTGAGTTATTTGTAAAAATAATAAAGGCGGAATACAAATAAAAGTAAACAAAAATTAATATGAAAGTTTGGGGTTTTATCTCAGGTTACAGAACCAAGGAATCAGCTAACACTCACCTCCAGGCTTGGTACAGGCCCCCAGTAGGTTGACCACATTTAGATGATGTCCAATATGGATCAGGATCTTCAATTCCGACATCAGGGCCTTGCACTCGTTGGTCGTTGCACACTCTGCTTGAGAAAGAGGACACAAGCATCTTTACACAACAGGATATCAGCAACAGGAAGAGTCGAATCCTGTTTACGTTTGAAAGGGAAGCAAACACCGCCATGGGAAAAAACAAAGGATGCCCTGATCTCTTTTAGGGTCTCTGTGTATTATTTCTCATCAGATTAAGGCACAATTTCCTGCCTTGATCTTCTCAAAGGTTCTTATCTGCAAGGAGAAGTTGAGCTGTTTTGGAAAACCTTCTCTGCTCCCAATTTCCTGCTAGGATAGCACAGTAGAATGTTGACCATGTCAACAATCAAAGTTCTAAAAGTTGCTGCCACTTTTTGTCCCCTAGAGGTCTATATAATCTGGATGGATGGAGATACCCAAAGCATTTAGATCAAAGGAGAGACTTGGTTTTAAAGGTTGTCTTGAAGATCAGGATGATGAATCATTCATAAGGTGGATTAAGACTCAATCTTGGTGGAAAGGGGCACCAATTTCATTCATTGCTTGAATTTTATTAATTATTGCTAATACAGTCCCATAGTGGTTTACACTACAATTTGGCTTCTCTTCATTTACTCTTGAATTAAATCTCCTTCATTGCATTCCATTGACATGATTAATTTTTTTTCTTCTCCATTCAAGTTTACAGTTCAGTACTACCATCCAGAAGAACTTTGGGATTCCATCCAAGGCTTTGAAAGACTAAATGCAGGCTCAAGAACTGAAGTTGGGTATGTCTACTAGCAAGAGATGGCCATAATAGTGCAACTTAATTAAGCAAAGGGAGGAGGCCATTTCAAAATGGAAGGATAAGAAGAACAGTTGCAGGAATTGGGTATGTCTAGTCTAGTGAAAAGAAGGACTAGGGGTGACATGATAGCAGTCTTCCAATATCTGAGGGGCTGCCAGAAAGATGAGGGGGTCAACCCATTCTCCAAAGCCCCAGAAGGCAAGACAACAGACAGTGGATGGAGACTAACCAAGGAGGGAAGCAACTTAAAATTAAGAGAAACTTCCTAACAGTGAGAACAATTAACCAGTGGAACAGCTTGCCTTCAGAAGTTGTGGATGTTCCATCACTGGAAGAAACTGGACAGCCATTTATCTGGAATGGTACAGGGTCTCCTCCTTGAGCAGGGGGTTAGACTAGAAGACCTCCAAAGTCCTTTCCAATTCTGTTATTCTGTTTTACTCTTTTGGTTCCTGGCATGTTTCTTTCACTCTGTCTCTCATCCTCTTTCTCTCTTTCTCTCTTTAGAGGTTTCTCCTTGTCTGTCTGCTTCTCTCCATGCAGGAAACTTGAACAAATTGTTCCTTTTTTCACTTGTAGAGAAAATTGCTTACTTGAAAATGTCCTTTGAAATTAGATCAAAAGCAGGCTGAACTCAGGCTGAGGAGTGCACCAATTATACACCTGTTCTTGGATTTAAAATATTAGCACTTAATAATTCTGGCAACATAATCCCACAATAGCTCTGTTTCCCACAATAAGGATTGTTCAGACTAAGGGCTTCCAGGAAAGAGCCGGGAACAACAGCTGCTGAGAACTACTATTTTCCTTGGAAACATTTCTCAAACAATTCATATATTTGGCAGGTTGTAGGATGACTTTTTCCAAGGTTCTTCCATGTGGGATGGTTCCAAAGCATGGAGAAATATGTGGGAAGCACCCTTGAAAATAGTACTAAATAGAGAATAGTGGATATTCCTGATGGTCTTGGAAGAACAATTGAGTGTTCGAAGAAATTTGGATCATACATAAAAGGATAACAGAGTAACAGAGTTGGAAGGGACTTTGGAGGTCATTGAGTCCAACCCCCTGCTCAGGCAAGAAATCCTATGCCATTCCAAACAAATGACTGTCCAGTCTCATCTTAAAAGCCTCCACAACTTCTGGAGGCAGGTTGTTCCACTGATTAATTGTTCTCATTGTTAGGAAATTTCTCCTTTGTTCCAGGTTGCTTCTCTCCTTGGTTAGTTTCCATCCGTTGCTTCTTGTCCTGCCTTCAGGTGCTTTGGGGAATAGGTTGACCCCCCCTCTTCTCTGTGACAACCTCTGAGATATTGGATATTAGATAAGGATGAGGAGATAACTGACCAAAAGTTGGGGAATCAGAATAGAGCTGGAAGGGACCTTGGAGGTCTTCTAGTCCATCCCCTGCTCAAGCAGGAGACCCTATACCATTTCAGTTGTGCTAATATCTAGAAATACATGAAGCAAAAGAGGCACTAAACATAACCAACAATAAGGTTTGGCAGTGAAGAAAGAAATCAGCCCATCCCTCACTTAGTTAGACAAAAGTCCACAATATATTTTAAAACCTACTATTGCAAGCAATTACTATGCTAAATGTTGTACTTATTCATCAAGTATCTGTAGAGCAGGGGTGTCAAACTGCCGGCCTGCGGGCCAGTTTCATCATACCGGAGCCGCACTCACCCCATTGCCAGCAATGGCAAAAAAGCTCCGATACGTTGCGCAACGCCATGTGACGTCGCGAGTTTGACATGTCTGCTGTAGAGAGAACTGGTATGCAAATGTCATTAGTTGATGCCAGATGGCTCAAACCTTGTCACTGGAAAGAAAATAAATTCTTTTATGTTGGGAAGGTTTGTATTCGTCATCTGCTTCCTTAGCACAATTTCTTTCTAATTTTTAAAAAATACTTAAATGTCAAGGCATTTAGACAACTAGAAATTCATCCATACGAGAGCTGATCAACTCTCACTCATTGTATGCTAAGCTTCCATGCTAAGCTAGATTTTTTTTTACAAGGTCTCCTGCCTTGGGCAGGGGGTTGGGCTAGAAGATCTCCAAGGTCCCTTCCAGCTCTGTGATTAATAAACAAAAGGATACATATTCCAGCTGCACTCGCTTTGCCCAATCTCTCTGTATGTTGATGGAGCAGGTTGCACATGAGAACATAACTCTGGTTGGCTGAATGTATTGATAGCATCTAACTTAGTGTTGCTGGCTCGGGAATTCTGGGAGTTGAAGTCCACCTATCTTCAAGTTGCCAAAGTTGAGAAACACAGATCTAATCTCTGACATGCCAGAAACTAAACCTGGACCTTGTGAATGCAGACCCTGCTCATTTCCATTGAGCCAGGCCCACACTTGTGTGCTTCTGGAGAAGCTTTACGCATAGGCATCCTTGCTGGCTAACTCAGCAAGATCCTCCACATTGGCCTTCTGGACATTGACCTGTACAATACATCTCTGACAAGGGCCCAGGCAATGCCGTTTCATCATGTCAGAAATTCAAAGCTAGAGATTTGAGAGTCATAATTGGACTCGGGATCAGTTTCAATGAAGATGGTCTGGAAGTTCCAGCACCTGCCTGAGAACCCTAAAACCAATTCTGAATTGAAGTCTGCCTAGATGCCATTATGGTACCTGGCATCATATCACCTGCCATCCGATATTATTTACATGTTGGGTTGGGAAGAAGCGAAAAGCAGCGAGTTGGGGCAATAGAAGGGGAAAACTGTACCAGTGGGTGCTCTTAAATGGAGACCATGTTTAAGATGCCTTCTTGGCCTGGTTACCACGATGAGGAGCCTAGGAAGGTCAGAGGGTGGATGTGTCCAGTCTCAAAACATGTGAGAGCAAACTACCTCTTCTATCTCCCTGGGATGATGTCCCTACCTCCTTTCTGTATGCATGGCTTCAGTTGAAGCATTGAACTTAATAGAATAACAGACTTGGAAGGGACCTTAGAGGTCCTCTAGTCCAACTCAAGCAGGAGACACTACACCATTCCAGACAAATGGCTGTCCAGTCTCTTCTTAAAATGGAACCCCCACAGCTTCTGAAGGCCAATCATTCCACTAGTTAATTGTTCTCACTGTTAGGAAATATCTTCTTAATTCTAGGTTGCTTCTCTCCTTTCCGTTCATTGTTTCTTGTCCTGCCTTCAGGTGCTTTAGAGAATAGGCTGACCCCCCCTCCTCTTTGTGGAAGCCTCTTAAATATTGGAACCCTGCTTTCGTGTCATCCCCCCAATATTTTTAATTATGAAAAACTCTTGCGTAGGTTCCTAAAAAAACACAGCTCTATATTCTTTTTAAAATGTGGTGAGGCTGATGTTAGCTCCCCCACTGAAAGAAACTGAAAACCTGGGATGAAAAGATTTTTGGCTGAAATATGAGATTTCAGTAATAAGCGACTGAAATTGCTTTGTATTTGTCTCGATGAAGGAGGAAGTCGTTTTTTCATCTATCTTTTCTTCTTTATGTCTTTTCCTTCCCCCCTTTTTTCTCTCTGTGCTTTCTATTTTTTTTCTTAGTTTGGGTTAGGTTTTTATCTTTGTATTTTGATACTGCAATAAAAACTCCAATAAAGGAGAACATGTGTAGCTCAGGGTTGAAGTGAGGGATCCTTGGTGGTCTCTGTGCTTGGCTGTTTTCCTGCAGACATTTCATGATCCAATTAGGTAAGATCATCAGTTCTAGGGTTGACTAGCTGACCAGCACTGATGATGTCAACTAGTTTGGATAATGAAACGTCTGCAAGAAAACAACCAAGCTCAGAATGCAATAAAAGTTATTATTAAAAACTGAAAGCAACTGAAAAACAATGCAGCCAAACCAGGCAGGATGCTCAAGGATGCAACGATAGGGACCAGGTGGCCCACCCCATTCCAGAATCACCGTAGGGAGGAGAGAGGGAAGAGTAATAAATGAAACACCATCCTTCCTTGTTCCGTTTTCAACTGTGATGTTTCTGAAACCTTCTCTAGGGACACAACCAGCTTTGGGTTTTAGAAGGAACCGTTAAGGAGTCTGAGAGAAGTGTACCTTTAAGCATTTTAACAGCCACTGTTTTGCAGGTTGAAGACTTATCTATGCCAAAAGCAGACGCTTCCACCACTTTGCCAAAAGCACCATGACCCAGAGTTTTACCTAGAGAAGCAAGAGGAAAGAGTGAGCCAGGCAGCACCCACAACACCAAGCACTGAAGAGAAGCAAAAGGGTCTAGCTAGACAACTCGCCGTGGCCAACTGGCCACGGGACAAGAGGTACACTAAAATTGAAGAAATGGTGGAATAGGCTCCTTAAAGACGGGATGCCAAAGGAGGGACGAAATGAAATGTGAATGACATTCTAAAAATTAAACTACTTTTAAAACTTATTTTATATCATTAAACTGAATTATTGAATTGTCCTGGGCACGTTATCCCGTAGGGAGTTTGCCGCGGCGAGGTGTCCCATTCTGAAGCAACGTTCAGTATAGAGCAGTGATGGCAAACCTTTTAGAGACCGAGTGCCCAAACTGCAACCCAAAACCCACTTATTTATTGCCGGGTGCCAGGTAGGCGTGGCCCACTGGGTGGGTATGGCCATGGTGGGCGTGGTCACCTCAATGTTGCTCGTGGGGAAGGATGCCTGTGGGGGCCGGGCAGGGTTGGGGGAGATCCAGGGAGTCTCTGGCAGGTGGGGTGGTGGGTAGGAGGCTCATCCTGTGGGGCGAGGCGAGGCAGGGTGGGGGTGCCATTGTTGCAGGGCAAGGTGAGGCAGGGGCCGGGGCGGCAGCTGCCTGACACCATTGTCCCCCGCACACAGATGTCAGCAAGCGCATGGGGGCCGACAGTGTCTGTCAACAGCCACAGCCTGCCGGCCCCTCGACTGGCATATTCTGGGGCTCCGCAGCCCGCCACCAGCAGTTCAGAGAAGTGCCCACAGAGAGGGATCTGCGTGCTGCCTCTGGCACGCGTGCCATAGGTTTGCCACCACTGGTATAGAGAGACCTGCTTTGCAACACTCCAGTTCTAGCATAAGAGAAGCTTGTTCTGCAAAAACGGATTTTGCAAAAGGAAAAAGTTTTCTCTAATTCCGCTTGTTTTGCACAATTTATTGCTTCTTCCCCCCCCCCTCTCTGTTTTGCAGCATTGATTCTCGCTTTTTGCAGAAATAACCCCTGACATTTTTTTTTTCTGAGGACATCTCACTTTCAAATATAAAACTCTAATCATGCTGGGGAAATGAAAATCATCCTTGTTTATCTAAAGACGGAAGGAAGGAAACATTGTGATATAAACATCGTTAGGATGTAAACATCATAATATCCAGGCGTTACTTGCCTTTTGTTCCTTTTTTCTTATTTTTCATTACCCTATATTTTAATTCTGAGATTGGGTTGATCGTTCCCTGCTGTTGTATGCATTTTTAATAGGTTGCATAATAAAATGTATTTTTTTTTTAAAAAAATGGAGATGATTACTAGATCATGGAAGCCAACGACACGGCAGGATGCTTTCCCCCAAATTTCTTAGTCAAAAAATCCTTTCAATATTTCTTTTTGAAGGTTCATCAGTATAATTTTGTAACCAAACAGTGATTTTTTTTCCAGAAAAGGAAGGGAGGAAGGACGCTCAGAAAGATGAATTCTGCTCCCAAGAGCCCAGCTTGTACTTTCCTTGAATTTGCAAAGAATTGCCATATTGACATTAAAAGTGCATGCAAGAGAATCATCCATTTCTTTTTTTTGCAGAATGTCAGAGTTCCAGTAACATGCAGCAGAAACTCTGCATTGCTTGCTAGAACATATGTATAAACTGAACCGAGTTTATAAACATATGAAATAATACAAGATTAAAACACAAGAGCGGAAAAATACACAAAATCAAAGGTTTCAAACATTGCAGGAAACATACAAAACAGAATCATTTCCAGAATTCAGAAAAGCTTGCAAAATTGCGCATTGCTAAAAAGTTTTGCATGCACCCCTCAACCTTTATTATTTAGTTAAATAATTTGTTTTTAGTCCTCCTCTTCTTCCTCCTATCAAAGATTGGTCATTAGGTAGATCTAGATTGTTTTCACATAGATTGGGAAGAGGTAAATTTGTGGGTCAAATCTAAAAATATTAAGAAAGCTTAACAATGGGAAAGTATTAAAGCAAACGGACATTTCATTGAGAAATAGTTTGGATCTTCTAACAACAGAGACTGTTGGGTTGGATAAAATCCCAGGATTAATTTTTGTGTCTCACTTAGTGAACTACAAATGACTGCGAAGTGATTTCCAGCCTTTTGCACTCTGCAGAATATTATGGGATTTGGAGATACTTCATAAAAACTTCACGGCCTATGTAAGGTTCACTCAGGCTGGCAAGTTTGACTTTTGATTTATGAATACATGAATTGTTCACCAAGGTAACAGACTGAAGCTGTGCTTGAAACAAAAAAACCAATTGGACCCACAAAAATTTCATAAAAAAAAGAGAAGTGGGCAACGAAGCCAGGTGAGGCAGGAAGTCCTTGACTTATGACCATAGTTGAGCCCAAGATTATGGTCATAAATCATGGCGGTCGTTAAGCAGGTTACCATATGACTATTTTTGCAGAAGCCATTAAGCAAATGCCAGAGATATTATTAAGCAGACCTGTTTTCCTCAATGGATGTCCCCCCCCCCCCCCGAAACAGAAAGTAAATGCTCAAAACTGGCAAAAAAAGAAAAAAAAGAAATTGTGGTCATGTGACCATGGGATGCTGCAAACCACCATAAATGAGGGTTTCCAAGCACCCAAAATGCAATCATGTGACTGTAGTGTGTGTGTGGGGGGGGGGGGGTGTGGCACCAGAATTTTAAAACTGAGTTATAAGTAGTTCTGGGAAGATTTGTCATAACTTTGAACGACTGCCACACAAATGGTTGTTAAATGAGGACTACCTATATGAAATAGAGCAGTGATGGCAAACCTTTTAGACACCGAGTGCCCAAAAACTGCCCCACCCCCCTGCCCCTGCCCTGTTCCGCCCACCCCACCCTGCCCCGCCCCCCGCTTGCCCACAGGGCCATCTACCACCTCCATGGCCCGCCACAGCAGATTGCCCAGGCGGCCCTGCACCGCCATGGTGGCCACGCCCTCTGCCCACGCCATGCAGCATCATCTGTGTGCGACAGGGCATGAGGGCAGAGTCTTGTCCCCGCTGCCCGGCTGCCATGTCCTTGGCTGCGCTGCTCTGCGCAGGCTGCGCCCGGGGGAGACTCTCCTCTAGCGGGGCTGCTGGTGTGGAGGGGGCCATGGGGGGAGGTGGGGCTAGGGCGATGGCGCATGTGCCCACAGAGAGGGCTCTGCATGCCACCTCTGGCACATGTGCCATAGGTTCGCCACCACTGAAATAGAGACAGGTAATCCTTGACTTACAACAATTTTTTAGTGATTGTTCAAAGCTCCAACGGCACTGAAGAAAACGGATTTATGACCGTTTTTCACACTTAAGACCATTGCAAAATCCCCATGGTCAAGTGATCAAAATTCGGCTGCTTGGCAACTGGTTCATATTTATGACAGTTGCGGTGTCCCAGGGTCACGTGATTCCCTTTTGCGACCTTTGGACAAGCAAAGCCAATGGGGGAGCCTGATTCACTTAACAACCCAGTTACTAACTTAACAGCTGCAGTGATTCATTTAACAAATGTGGCAAGAGAAATCATAAAATGGGGCAAAATTTACTTTACAAATGTCTCACTTAGCAACAGAAATTTTGGGCTCAATTGTGGTCATAAGTCAAGGACTACCTGTACTTTGTCATCTCTATCTTATTATCCCTGGCAATGTGTAGCTCTAGCAGGGAGCATGGAAAGCAATTTTATTCTGTTTCCTTCAAGGCAGTGATGAGGTCTAACAAATCTAGTGAATGTTCTGCATGAAGCTGAAGACATCCATTAGACAGAGACAGATGACGCCGTCTCTTTCAGATGATTTGGGATGACAATTCCCATCATCACTCATGCAAAACATCTGGAAGTCATCTAGCTGACCATCCCTCCCGTAAACAATGGATCCGGATCTTTATCATCAAGCCGAATCCGATGACGTACAAATGGACTATTAGCTGTCAAATCCATCCCAGATGTGTTCAGTACAACTGCAAATTGCCAGTCATCAGAGTCATTAAGAATTCTTGGAAAGGTAATCCAGCACTATTCAAGGTCGGGTCTAGGACAACTGGGCACGGCCAACTCACTGCAGCCAACTTGCTGAGGCCAACTCACTGTGGGACGATTTGCCACAGGACAAGAGTTATATTAATATCAAAGAAATGGAATAGTATCATTAAAAGAAAGGATGGAAAAGAAGGGACAAAACGAAATGTGAACGACCAAAACTAAAACAATGTTTTAATTATTTTAACTACTTAAATTGAATTGCTGAATTGTTGAATTGTCCTGCAGTGAATTGTCCAGTTGGCTGCAGTGAGTTGGCCCTGCCAAGTTGTCCCATTCCATTCCATTCAAGGTCACCCACCAACACAGAAGCTTGCCCCCCCCACCTACCCAGCCGCAGCCGATCCCTTGGGAACTCCCATTTGTTGCTGTCGTAAGGAAGACGCTCGCACTGCTCATCCAGGGGCATCTCCTCTGGATCCATTATGATGGACAGATATCCAGTTTTAATATCGGTGGCATCTGGCTGAAAGAGAAAAAAAAGAAACTCCCTAAGATCAAAATTGGAAGAAGAAGAAGAAGATGGATGAGGCGAGAAGGCAGAAGCTTCGCCCCCACAAAGGTTTGAACCAAGGTGCCCCTTCTTCCTCCTTAGGGGCATGAAAACCATTTCTGCTCCTTTTCATTCACCAGCCTGTATTCTTTTTACACTTGCATGGATGCATAGATACTGTATGGCAGTGATGGCGAACCTTTTAGACTGCAACCCAAAACCCACTTATTTATCACTGGGTGCCAGGTGGGTGTAACTCACTGGGTGGGCGTGGCCAAGGTAGGCGTGGCAGACTGGGTGGGGGTGGCCAAAGTGGGCATGGTCACCTTGATGTTGCTCGTGGGGAGGGACACCTGTGAGGGCCGGGCAGGGTTGGCGGAGATCCAGGGGGTCTCTGGCAGGTGGGGTGGTGGGCAGGAGGCTCGTCCTGCACGGTGAGGTGAGGCAAGGCAAGGCAAGGCAGGGTGGGGGTGCCATTGTCGCAGGGCAAGGCAAGGCAGGGGCCGGGGCGGCTGCTGCCTGACACCATCGGCCCCCACACACAGAGGCCAGCGAGCACATGGGGGGTGACAGTGTCCATCAGCAGCCACAGCCTGCCGGCCCCTTGGCTGGCACACTCTGGGGCTCCGCAGCCCCCCCCGCCAGCAGTTCAGAGAAGCCGCCTCTGAGCTGGACGGCCGACTGACACCTGAAGAAGCAATGCAGTGGGTCGTGCCCGGGAAAAGGAGAGCATGCGAGGCCAGGAGGGATGGGATAGAGGGAGGGAGGGAAACCAGCTGTGCTGGGATGCATCCGGCCACATGGGACCTCAGCAAGTTAGTAGGTGGGTGGTTGAAGAGGGACGGTTGCCATCCCTGGGGCATGGCACACGTGCCCACAGAGAGGGCTTTGAGTGCCGCCTCTGGCACGCGTGCCATAGGTTCGCCACCATTGCTGTATGGGCTTGCCTAATCATCTGTAGGAGGACAGGAAGGCCTGGAGGAACGTTGTCCATGGCGTCGCGATGGGTCGGACACGACTTCGCAACTAACAACAACAAATCATCTGTAGCAAGTTAAATGGATTTCCAGGGACATTCACTTTCCCTTTCACTTTCACTCTGCTGGTGACATAGCCAGGAATTGATTGTACCATTGAACGAGGATTAGGAAAATGATGTGTTAGTTAGGGAAATGAGTCCCTGCCAATCTACTAAGCAAGCAGTGCTCAGAAGTGACAGAGATGTAGAATTCACACTTGGGAGACGACCCTCTTCCAGTCTCTTCCAATCTCTTGTACCCCCCATGGTTTTTATGGTTGGGCAGAACTTTCAGAAGTGTTACAGATTGTCCTCGACTTACGACCGCAACTGAGCCCAAAATTTCCGTTGCTACGTGAGATATTTGTTAAGTGAATTTTGCCCCATTTTATGACTTTTCATGCCACAGCTATTAAGTAAATCACTGCAGTTGTGAAGCTAGTAACACGGTTGCTAAGTGAATCTGGCTTCCATGTTGAATTTGCTTGTCAGAAGGTCGCAAAAGGGAATCACACGATCCCGGGACACTGCGACCGTCATAAGCATGAGTCAGTTGCCAAGCGTCTGAATTTTGATATTGTGATCATGGGGATGCTGTAATGGTTGTAAGCGTGAAAAAGGATCATAAGTCACTTTTTTTCAGTGCTGTTGTAACTTCAGATGGTCACTAAATGAACTGTCTGCAGGACTACCTGTACTTTCAAAAATGTGAGAGATGGACAAATTAGCTCTGTTTGAATCATCAAAGTAGCCATGTCTTTTTTCCCCGGAATCGCATGATTTAGAAACTGCCTCCAGCTGACTCGGCAGGACTAAGCAGCTGTAGGTGAATGAAGATTTTTCTCTGTCGTTCGTGGCACTATAGAAATTGACTACTGAATCACTTTAGTTCTTTCAGCATTTAGGGCAGGGGTAGGCAACCTTGGCTCTTTTATGACTGGTGGACTTCAACTCCCAGAATTCCTGAGCCAACATGGCTCAGCTTGGAAACCTCTCCCTTTCCCCTCAGCATGGCTGGCTCAGGAATTCTGGGAGTTGAAGTCCACGAGTCATAAAAGAGCCAAGGTTGCCTACCCCTGATCTAGGGTGATTCATTTCTAAGCCTCAGACATGAGGATCACCTTACTTTTCTGAGTTTCCGTATGAAGAGGGTCAGAAGGAGCCAAAAGAGAGTGGCTGCTAGGCCAGTGCAAACCAGGATGATGACTTCTATGTTGGACTTTTCTTCAGAGCCTGAAAAAGACACACATGAGAAGGTTTCAGCCCACGATCCATTGACCCACCCACTCCATCAAGCTTCACTTGCAATAAACCATGCATGCATTGGATAGCTTTTGGTTGCTTAACAACAGTTAAAAATGATGGGGTTTGTAGTCGGAGTATAAATGCTGTTCTCACCTTCTATTTTAATAAACGCCCGGGTGCTGTCTTGACCCATCTCGTTGATCGCTTGGCATTCATAATGACCCTCGTCATCCTTTTTCACTCGTTCAATCACCAAAGTATTGTTTTCCATGGAAATTCCTGGAAGAGGGAAGGGGAGGAAGACAGAGAAGAAAAAAAGGAATATTATTTTCCATGCATCACATTCTAGACTCTAGAGTTTTTTTCCCCCAGAGAAATTGGTGATGGAATCACATGGCCCCATTAGGTAGCATTAGAAAAAAGAATTGTTTGTTTGTTTGTGTGTGTGTGTGTGTGTGTGTGTGTGTGTGCATGTGTGTGTAAAAAGTCAAGATGGTGGTCACAACCACTGGCTTGGTGGCGACAATCATGACTTTTGGACTTTTTTTAATCCCCTTGTGGATGCCACTGATAGAAAGAGATCAAAGGAGAGGTGAGGGTCCCTTCTTTGAAGCTAATCAACAGCCCATCTGGTCCAATTTTATTTATGCTGAAAGCAGGTTCCCTCCAAGATTTCAGGTACAGACCTTCTTTTGCATTTTGATATATTTGGAAGTGGATTTTCGAAGAACTGAAAGCTAGCATAGTTTTCATTACCCAACTAGGTAACATAATCAGTGCTAGAAGGGAGTGGGCTTTGTGGAGAGGAGGAGGAGGAGGAGGAGGAGGAGGAGGAGGAGGAGGAGGAGAACTGTGCGGTCCTTGGTGCTCTCTGAGCTTGGTTGTTTGCTGGCAGATGTTTCATTACCCAACTAGGTAACATCATCAGTGTGAGTGAGGGTGGGATTTGCTTCAGTTGCCAAGTGCCCAGATTGCAATCACATGACTGTGGGGGTGGCTGGGATGGCCTGAACTTCACTGCCCAGTTGTAATCTCTATTTGTTCAGCACCACTGTACCTTTGAACAATTGCTGAACGAAGATCATAATCCGACGACTACATGTATGTGGGGAATGTAGCCTGGAGAATCAGGTGGGAGGGGCTGCATTCCAGAGGATCAAGAGATAGCAAAGTTTAGATAGTTTGGTTGAGATGAAGAGAGTCAACATGGCTCCTCCCTAGAAGATTTCAGAATATAACTTTAATGACGCGAGTAGTTTGCTTTTTAGCTTGGCAAGATTCTGTCTGTAGCAGAGGAACAAAAAAGGAAACGGCTCAGAAACGGTGAAAACACTGGTATAGGTTCTCCTGCTTGACCAGGGGGCTGGACTAGAAGACCTCCAAAGTCCCTTCCAGCTCTATTCTATTCTTCTTCTAGTCTTCATCTGTCTTGGCTTTTGGGGGGCCCTGACACTATAGCTCGTTCTGGACCTGCTATGTTAAGAACTGAACTTGGGACCTTGAAGATGAAAATTTTTCCTGCGGATTCCCCCTGTTCCAATGGGCCACCTGTGCTCTTAAAAGAGAGAAAGACACAAGAGTAGCACCGTCCATCTTAGGAAGCTCACCTGAAGCAGGGGCAATGCGGTGGCCATTTTTCAGCCAAGCAATAGTAGGATGGGGGATCCCGTTGACTTTGCACTCCAGAAAGATGGTCCCGCTCACATTAACCTCCAAGTTGGTAAAGTTCTCCATAATGTAAGGCACCGTCTTAACTGCAAACAAAGAGAAAATGACGTATTTTAACACCAAAAGCTTTGCGCTTCTGTGGTCACAGAGGCAACCTTCATCCTGAACAAAAGAAAATGAGAAAATTATAAAGATCAAATCAACACAGCTTGGACCCCACAGAGATTTGAAAGCAAATGTTGGGTAGAAGAAAGATTTTAACTGTTAATATGAAGATAAACAAGTTCCTCCTCTTCCTCTACCATAAAATGTCCTGTAAGTTACTAGTCCTCATGATTCCAAAGCTAAGTACCAATTCAATGTAGTAATATCCACTCTACAGTTATGCTTCTTCCTTTTCTTCCCATCAAGGAATGAAATCTGGGACTTCACTCCCCTATAATCTTTCAGAAGACAAGGAACGTGTGGTAAGTAAAAATTGTGTTTTTTAATATAATGACTCATCTCAATTTATTTATGACACATTCAGAATGAAAGTAAGTTTACAAGGCATTGGACTTCCTCCCAGAAATTAATGATTGCTGAATTTGGAAATGTTGGTTGATTAGTACAAGGGCAATTTGGAAATAAATCTCTGTTTGGTTATCCATGACAGACACTCGCTGATAGAGAACTTTTATTACACACACTAGAAAACTACAACATTACATGACTTTTCGACATAATCGCCATTCAAATTGAGGCACTTGTCATAGCGTCTTACAAGGTTTGAAATTCCTTCTGCAAAAAAAATCTCCCACCTGGGAATGAAGCCATCCTGTAACAGCATTGTGAAGCGCATTGTCATTGTTGAAGCGGTTCAACACAAGCCGCTGTTTCATTTAAAAAACTGGTTCATTTTCAATTGATCTAGCGCAAGGGTAGGCAACCTCGGCTCTTTTATGACTCATGGACTTCAACTTTAATTCTGGGAGTTGAAGTCCATGAGTCATAAAAGAGCGGAGGTTGCCTACCCCGATATAGCAGATGAGTCAACTGCAACACAGCCTTCTCCTTCCACTCTTCACTGCCTACTGAACTGCTACGCATGGCGCCATAGGATGGGCCTCGCTATCCCGGCCTATTTCTCGCACATGCTCAAATGGAGGTTTATTTCCAAGTTGCCCTCATGGTTAGGTAGTTAGGGAAGAGATGATAAATGGGTGCAATTCTGTTTCAGTTTCCTACCAGCATCTGTGTGAGTAGAACCAAGTCAAGATGGCACCCAAGCCTTGTAACTGAAACTCTCCAAATGCAGTTAAAAAGAGCCCTAGGTTTCAATTCCGAATTGCCTTCATAACTTTCTGTCTAATTATCCAAACAAATACAGAGGCTGGAGATAGATTGCATTTTAGGGTCAATTTTGCTGTCCCGGTGTGTAAATAGGAATATTGCCAAAATTGTACCCGCGTATAAGTTGGAATATTGCCGGAATTGCCTTGTTTGGAATTTTGCAATGCTGTAACTCAAAACAGCACATAAGTCCGTATTAGAGAAATGTAAGAAAAAAAACCAGCATTCTCTTAAAACAGGGGTCTCCAAACTTGGCAACTTTATGACTGTGGACTTCCAGAATTCCTCACCCAGCATGGCTGGCTAAGGAATTCTGGGAATGGAGGTTCACGAGTCTTAAAAGTTGCCATGTTTGGGGCCCATGTGTTAGAGCAGAGCTTCACAACCTCGGCAACTTTAAGATGTGTGGACTTCAACTTCCAGAATTCCCCAGTCAGAATTCTGGGAGTTGAAGTCCATACATCTTAAAGTTGCCGAGGTTGAGTAACACTGTATTAGACAAATGTATAGGCCACATGCCGGCCAAGAGCAGGATGGGGCAGATGTTGCCAGCCTTCTTACATTTTATGCAGAGCATGGTGCTTTTCTCCAGCTGTTTGGTGCGGTTATCGTAGCTTGATGCTCGGCACTTGTAAAGCCCGGCGTGAGCCTGGGAAACATTATGGATGTCCAGCACTAAGGAGATGGAATAGTTGTCCACCTTCTTCTGGGTGAGAGCTGTGGGGACTTCCTGCAAGGTGGGGTCGTACCAGGTGAGATGATCGTAAAGGTACTTGGAGCACTTGCAGGTCATCTGGACGTGGCTGGTCACAATAGCTGTCATTTGGGAGTCTGCCTCTAGGCTGGACTGCATGTCTGCAAGAAATAGGCAAAGACAGTTAGAACAATTAATCAATGGAACGACTTGCCTCCAGAATCTGTGAATGCTCCAACACTGGAAGTTTTTAAGAAGAGACTGGACTTCCAAGGTCCCTTCCAACCATTCTATTCTATTCTATTCTATTCTATTCTATTCTATTCTATTCTATTCTATTCTATTCTGCATTCAATTCTATTCTATTCTATTCTGCATTCAATTTTCTATTCTATTCTGCATTCAATTTTCTATTCTATTCTATTCTATTCTATTCTATTCTATTCTATTCTATTCTATTCTATTCTATTCTATTCTATTCTATTCTATTCTATTCTATTCTATTCTGCATTCAATTCTTTATTCTATTCTATTCTATTCTATTCTATTCTATTCTATTCTATTCTATTCTATTCTATTCTATTCTATTCTATTCTATTCTTCATTTGGATCCAGGTGTAGTTGAGTATATTGTGTGACCTCCAGTGGGACGTCAAGGGCAATTGGAAAGACATAGTTAACTCACCTCGGCCCTTACACCGCAGAAATGCAGAAGCAGTTGCAAAATATGGAGTGCAAATTGGGATGTGGAGTGGAGGGGAGGAGGAGGAGAGGAGAGGAAAAGAGAGGAGAATAAGGAGAAGGAGGAGAAGGAGGAGAGGAGGGGAGAGGGAGAGAAGAAGAGGAGGAGAAGAGAAGGAGGGGAGGAGGAAAAGGAGAAGAGGAAGAGGAAAAGAGAGGAGAATAAGGAGAAGGAGAAGGAGAAGGAGAAGGAGAGGAGAGGAAGAGAAGAAGAAGAGGAGGAGGAGAAGCGAAGGAGGAAGAGGAGAAGGAAAAGGAAAAGGAGAGGAGAGCCTCCCTTTTTATTTTTATTATCTAGCTATCTTTCTATCTATTTATCTGTCTGTCTGTCTGTCTATCATCCGTCTTTCTGTCTTGAGCGGCACAGTATCCTAGAGGTGGAGCTCTCCCCTCTTAATCTGGAGGCTGTGAGTTCAATCCTAGGTAGCAGCAGGTATATCTCTCTCTGGGCTCAATGGATAATTGTCTGCTGTGAACTCCGAATAGGCATCAGGAAGGGCATCCAGCCAGTAAACACCTGAGCTCCATTCAGTCTCCACCCCAATGCAAGGGATGACAGGGTCGTTAAAAGGAAACTTTTTATCTATCTCTTTGTCTATGTTAAAAGGGGCTTTGATTGCATGATTATAGCCACCATCTTGCCTTTTTTGACCTCCTTCCCCTAAGAATCATTGCAGGTTGCATTTTCTGCCCTTCCACCAGATGTTTCTGGGCCTCTGGGGGGAGGGTGATGCACGTTCTTTACCTGTGATATAAAACCTGATGTTCCTCTGTTCAGTGCCCAACTTGTTGGAAGCCACACAGTGATAGATTCCTGAGACGTTGCTCGCTGTCATGGTCAGAGTGCTCAAGACCTTCCAAAGGAAAAAGGGAAAGAAAGAAAGAAAGAAAGAAATAGGTTAGTTTCTTTAGCCACAAAAAGCTGCAGGGAAATTGCTTGGTGACGTAGAACAGAACAGAGTTGGCACTTCAGTTGCCTTGCAGTCAAGACCCATCACAAAAAATATTTCAAGCACTGCAGATCATTCATGAATGAAAAGTACACGATGGATTTGAAACAGTGAATGGTATAAAGAGGGCATCAAACAGCTTGTATAAACCTTAGAGCTTGATTAAAAAAAAATTATAACTTTCTTGGAGGTGTCCGGAAATGGGTCTCAGAGAAGAAGAGCAGTGAGCATAAAAGCGGTTAAGTTTTCTAAGAACTGGTAATACAAGTAGTCCACGACTTACAACAATTCATTTAGTGACTGTCCAAAGTTACAATGGCATTGGAAAATGTGACTTATGACCGTTTTTCACCCTTACGACCGTTGCAGTATTCCCGTGGTCCTGTGATCAAAATTCAGACGCTTGGCAGCTGATTCATATTTATGATGGTCGCAGCCGTCACGTCATCCCCTTTTGTGACCTTCTGACAAGCAAAATCAATGGGGGAAGCCAGATTCACTTAACAACCTTGTAACTAACTTAACAACTGCAGCGATTTACTTAACAACCGTGGCAAGAAAGGTCGTAAAATGGGGCAAAACTCACTTAACAACTGTTTCACTTAGCGACATAAATTTTGTGCTTGATTTTAGTTGTAAGTTGAGGACTTCCTGTATAAGATCTAGTTGTCATTGGTCAAGGATTCTCTAGTGTTGCTTTTAGATCTTTCGATCTGTTCTGAGATCTGCTCAGGCATTACCTCTTAGAGAGCTAAAAAAAACCAAAAAGAAAAACTTGGAAGAATAAAAGGGTAGATTTCCTTGTAAGACAAGTAGATTTCCTTGTCGGACATGTGCAAGAATTTTCACAACTCAAAGACCTATAATTGGGCCGTAGGCATGGAGAAACTTAATTAGCGACAAGCCGAATTTGTAGCAAAGGACGGTACAATGCAGCATCTTCTTACCCAGAAATCAAGGTGACCTGATTTTTGACATGATTACGCTGGACTGATAAAGCTACTCTGTACCTGTCTGTTGTAATTCCAGTTTGTGAACAAGTTACACTTTCATTTAATTTAGGGGGAAAGCTTCCAATAAGGGTAGGGGGAGTTTTTCCAACCAATTCTACCTATCAAAAGAGCTGGGCCATGGATCCCCTACAACAGAGGTCACGTGTGCCTGGCTGAGGAATTCTGGGAGTTGAAGTCCACAAGTCATAAAGGGCCAAGTTTGAAGACTCCTGCAATACAAGCTCCCTGATCATCATAATAATAAAGTTGGAAGGGACCTTGGAGGTCATCTAGTCCAACCCCCTGCTCAGGCAGGAAACCCTATACCATTTCGGACAAATGGCTGTCCAGTTTTTTCTTAAAAACTTCCAGTGTTGGCGCATTCACCGCTTCTGGAGGCAGGTTGTTCCATTGGTTAATTGTTCTAACTGTCAGGAAGTTTCTCCTTAGTTCTAGGTTGCTTCTCTCCTTGATTAGTTTCCATCCGTTGCTTCTTGTCCTGCCCTCAGGTGCTTTGGAGAATAGCTTGACTCCCTCTTCTTTGGGGCAGCCCCTGAGATACTGGAACACTGCTATCATGTCCCCCCTCGTCCTTCTCTTCATTAAACTAGACATACCCAATTCCAGAAACCGTTCCTCATATGCTTTAGCCTCCAGTCCCCTGATTATCTTTGTTGCTCTTCTCTGTACTCTTTCTAGAGTCTCAACATCTTTTTTACATCGTGGTGACCAAAACTGGATGAAGTATTCCAAGTTGGCCTTACCAAGGCATTGTAAAGTGGTATTAATATTTCACGTGATCTTGATTCTACTGGATCAGAGTTCTTGCGTTTACTTTGAAATAGGGTGAAAAAATGATGTGGCTGACTAATGGAAAATATAGATGCTGAAATATTATTTTTGTTCATGAATTCAGCTTTCCTACTTATTGATTACAATGACAAGGTCAGGATCGGACATATATAATCAGATTTGCGTATACAGTATATGTATGCAGGGTGGGATTCAAATAATTTAACAGCTGGTTCTCTGCCCTAATGTAAAATCTGTTCGTCGTCATCACTGGAGCGACGCTCCTGGCATTGTCATCATCACCAGCGCGACGCGCCTCATGGCGGCAGTGGCATCACCGGTGCGACACACCTGGCGGCAGCAGCCCCAGCATGATGCACCTTGCAGATTTGTCATAACTGGTTTGCCAAACTCAACAAAAAATTAGGTATTGGTTCTGCCGAACTGGTGTGAGCCAACTGAATCCCACCACTGCATGTGTGTATGAGGATTAATGAGTATTAGCAATGATTCTATTTTAGGTTCCTAAACGTCTCTCAGGAGCTTTGAGCTGCAGCCCTGGCAGTATTTTTCTGCTAGGTTTAACTTGTAAAATGAATTAACCCAAGGCAAAATACTGACCTGATCCATATCGATGGGCTGTAATATTAGATCTTCTAAAATGTTTATCATACAATCTGCTATGCTCATCTACTAGTCTTAACTTCCATTTGGCCTTTAATTTTCAACTCTCCTGTTATTTTCGGAGTGAAGTTAATACTGAAGGCAAATGAGGTTAACTTCTAGATCAAAGCATTCTACCTTGAGCAGCTGGCAACCATTCTTCCTTAAAAAATAAAGTCAGAAATAGTTGATGGGGATTGCCTTGGGAAATTTTCTGTTCCCTATGCTCCAACTTCTGGAGTTCCTGGAAGAGAAGAGCTGCCTTTTTCTGGCTCTTATTGTCTCCAAACATGAAAGCAATCACACTTTAATTAGGAAGAAAAAGCTTCCTTTTTTCTTTGATGAAAAATGCAAAATGAAGATGAATTCACACTGTAACGATTGATTCTTGCATAAGGCCAGTATTTGTGGAAGTGTTTTCAGCATAGGAGCTACAGTTGATGTCACGAGGTCTAGAAGGTGCATGAGAGTGAGATTTGTAGTCCACAATCTTCTCATGGGTTCTGGCACCTACAACTGTGCTCCTTGGCTCACAACCACAACAGCAGGTTGCCCATCATGTGTTTTCATATGCTTGTGTTCAATCAGACCTACTTCCAAGTAAGTGTACAAGGGATGTCTTCATCAAAGAAATTCCCTTTTGTTTATCTGGGTATTATAAACCACCCAGTTTGTTTACTACAAGCTTCTCAGGAGTCCCTGATGGAGTAGGATATGTATGATGTGCACATAATGCTAGACATGTCACTAGAAGGCAAAATCACGAAATTGCGTCTCACGTAATTGGGTATGTCATGCAGGGGAATTCCTGGAGGAAGCAATTAGTGTTAGTGTTAAAGGGAAACCAGGCCATCAAAGAACAAGATGGCTGGACTTCATCAAAGCTGATACCAGCCAGAACATAGAAAAACTCAAAGAACTAGTGCAAGACTGGAGGATATGGGGAGACCTGGCCCACAGAATCGCCAAGAGTTGGACACAACTGAATGGATAACATCATCACCATGTATGATGTAAATACTTGGGAATCAGTCATCCAAAATGCCCTGGCGAATGAGCGGCTGTGAACACAGCATCTCCCTGCAACATCTGACAGCAGCTGTGCCTGGTTATATAGAGAAAGTCATGGCTGCCTTGAGCTATCCTCCACTTGCACACCCACGTGCAAAGAACTATTTTGAAGCTCCAGTTCAAAGCCCTGATAAGTACATAAATAAAAATTTAAGTCATGTCACAGTGCAAAAATTCCCAGGAGATCAATTACTTCACAGCTCTTAAATCTGTACAGATAAGGAGTTTGAAAGCATGCAGTATAAATAAGAAACAGCCGTGCCTCTGTTTACTCCCAGGGTGACTTTATGATTAAAAAGAGAATAATTTATTATTGAAATGAAGGAGTGGGCCAGTGTTATTTAATTTTGGCTTAGATTATTAGTTCCTTGCCCCTCTGATAGTTCAAACTAACTATTTAGAGATAAATAGAAGCAAAACAACTATCTGATTACGGATTTCCTAAGGCTACGAAATGTTTTAATGGCTTGTTTTAAATTTATCTGGACACTTAGTTCTTTCGTAACTTTCTAAAATCAAAGTTTTAATTACCTTTTTGCTACTTATTCCAAGAAGATGTTTTTAATTTCTAGCTAAGGACTAAAGGAAACTCACTCGCTGTAGTCAGACTTTTTGATTCAAAGTTTTCTAATAGCTGAAAAGCAGTTAACAAGCAATTTCCAAAAGTGTCTAGAAAAGGAAGTATAGTGGTGCCTTGATCCTTAATTGTTTTGAAACTCATCAAATTTGGTACTAAGCACATTTGGACTGGAAAATGTTCTCCCAGTCCTCATTGTTTGTTTGGTACTCAATGTACAAGCTAGAACTTGTCAGTGTTGGCTGCCATGTGACTCACCACATTATTCCTTATGGGAAAAAGTTTGGTGGCTCATCGTTTTTGGTACTCATTGTGCCTTCTGGAACCAATTAAGGATGAGTACCGAGGTACCACCGCATGTGAACCAAGTTGTCAGGTCCTCATAGATCCCTGTTGGGACACTGCCATTCTGGTGGGAGGGGGGACTTTGAGGCCTTTCTACGATGTATCCATTTTGCTTTGTTCCTCTTTTGCTTTGATGTATCTTCCTGGGAATTGGGGAAGAGGGATGGGCCCTGGGGCCATCTGGTTTGCCTCATCTCCGGAGAATCCCGCCTGCTACCAAGATCATGGCGCCTCAGAACGACGTTATCACTTTCTTGGCTCAGAGTCCTCACAACACCTTCACATCCTCAGATTGGCTCTCCATGGACTGGGCAGTTGGGAGGTGTTTGAACAATGGGGTTTTAGCCTAACATTTTCACACAGGAATGTTAGATCCTGCCTACTTTCTCTGCAATCCCTTTCGCTCAATAAGAGAGTCTTTTGAAACGGTGTCTGTTTCAAGAGTTACGCTTTCTTGAGGGAAT